TTTAAGCAGACTATAGGTAGGTCAGTCTTTATCTCTAGCACTTAGCACGGGCCATCACTGGATTAGTAACGTAGTGTTTAAGCAGACTATAGGTAGGTCAGTCTTTATCTCTAGCCCTTAGCACAGATTAGCACTGGATCAGTAACGTAGTGTTTAAAGCAGACTATAGGTAGGTCAGTCTTTATCTCTAGCCCTTAGCACAGATTAGCACTGGATCAGTAACGTAGTGTTTAAAGCAGACTGTAACAAGGTCAATCTTTATCTCTAGCCCTTAGCACCGAATATCACTGGATCAGTAACGCAGTGTTTAAAGCAGAGTATAGGTAGGTCAGTCTATCTCTAACCCTTGTCACAGACTATCACTGGATAAGTAACGCAGTTTTTAGAGAAGACTATAGGCAGATCATTCTTTATTTGTATGTCATCTTTAGTGCTGACTATGTTTAAAACTGACTACAGAAAAGTCAACCATCATTTCTTTTCCTTAGCACAAAATATGGTTGAATCAGTAATCCAGCCTTAATAAGAGACTGTAGTCAAGTTAACCTTTTTTGCTAGTGCTTGGGAAAATATTTTATTTTTCACTGATAATGAACTAGTTTAGCATTCTATGAAACTATATCAACGACGTTGATTAAAACAATATTGAGTGTCTGATAATTATCAATACGTACAACATTCGTAAAGCTTAATTTCCCTTTAGATAAATACTAGGTCATTAACCCAGTTTTAAAACGAAATATACCTACTTCATTGACTACTTTTAAAAGTGATTTTACCTGCGTTATTAAGATACTTAAACCAATAACCTACCTCATATCCTTAAAACAGACATCGCCTGGGTCAAGCCCCTAATATTTAGAATGGATTACAAATAGACCCACAACGTAATTCTTGTCTTTAAAACAGACGTGGACTGGATCAAGCCCATAATATTTAGAATAGGTTACAGATAGACTCACAACCTACATCTTGTCTTTAAAACAGATATGGACTGGATCAAGCCTCTAATCTGTAGAATGGATTACAGATAAGCCCATAACCTACCCCTTGTCTTTAAAACAGACATCACCTGGGTCAAGCCATTAATCTTTAGAACGGATTACAGATAGGTCCATAAATCATCTCTAGTCTTCAGAAGGGAATATGACTGAGTCAGTAACGAAGCCCTTAGATTTTGTTTCAGATAATAATCCACCAAGATCAAAGAATATGTAATCACGTCAGTAACTTATAAGCCTTAGAAAAAATGTTAGGTGGTTCGGTAACCTAATTTTCTTCTTTGAAGCAGATCATAAACAGGGTAGTAATGCAGGTTTCAGAAAATATTTGAACAGGGAAAATAACCTACCATTCGCCTTCAGAATAGATTAGGAACAGTAACAAAATACTTAGAATCAAATAGCTAAAACCAACTTCTACCTTAAGTTTTTGAAATGAATTGAGTTAAGCAGAAAGTCTACCTCTAGTCAAATATGTACGGTTTTTGTTGTTGTTTTTTACACTGAAACGATAACGTGTTCATGTGGCTGAATTACTAAAAGATGAACAAGGGTTTCATTATTACAGTAAAAAAAGGAAGTTGTTAGTATCATAGTAAGATGAGTTTTTTTCTCATCCACATGATAAGTTATTTCTTTATATATATATAAACAACGTGCCATATGCATCAAATTAGAACATTTTCTAATCAGTTGTTGAATTTTGTACTTATATATTCTAAAAACAGGGGGAGTTCCATATCTCGATAGGCTCATGCTCTGTTCCGCACTGCGAAAATAAAACTAGCTAGGTTAAAGTAAAATCATAAGCTCAAACGACAAAATGTTCTTCCAATAAGCCTAACTATAACTCACAGTGACTCAAATCTACCAGTGTGGTGTTTGCACGGTGCTCAGACGAAAATCATGCTCATTTTGTAAACAGTAAACGCGATTTTTAAATAATTTGTTTCGTTAAACGATCAATGCCAACGTTACATAAAATGGTTGAAAACCATAATTTTTAAACAGTAAAAAAAGATGTTAGCCAATTTTTAAATTAAAGGGTCAGATCACCATCAATAGGATAAAAGTTTAACAAAATGATTTTGCGTTAATATCTATACTCTATTTCCCAGATTTAATAAAGTTCAAGTGAACGATTGCCGCTAAGGTTATAACAAAATTGTTTCGAAGTTTCCGTACAGTCAAGTCTTAAGACATTTAGAGTGATAACCTGTTTCTTTGGTAAACAGTTACTATTACTTGAAAAATATCATTCACACAATAATGTTTGACAATAAACCTTATATACATATAACAGTAAGGCGAAGGTTAACTAGCTTTGTCCAAAACAATTACACGGGGATTTTTAAACACAGAAGTTTGTTGGATAATTTTGTAATTTTTTTACTTTAAAAGTTGTTTGACTTTATAATCCACTATATTATATTGATTCATGGTAATTCTTAAGAACTTTACTTATTAATCACAATTATAAATATAGTGTACCACTTAACACTAGTTCATGAAAAATATTATTTGGCTGTTTTCGGTGTTGTTTCCTTATTATCACGAAAATTAACCAAACTGGCCAAATTAACCAGAGAATTGACTGAAAAAAAATTGTTTTAGAATTTCGCGCAAAGCTACACAAAGGCTATATACCCATATCCTATCCCTAATATTGAGGTAATAGAACAGAAGGCAGGCAGCTACTCAGACTCTGGGGATACTCTTCTCTGTTTGAATAGTGAAATCTGACTGTCACTCTTGTAACAATTACACAGGGAATTTTAAACGCATAATTTTGTTGGATAGTTTTGTAAATTTTTAACTTTGATAGTTATCAGATTTTAAAGAAAACTGGTTTATTATTAAAAAGGGTATAGTCGCCGGTATTAACTTGCCGTGGTGGGCACAACACAGATAGCCCATTGTATAGCTTTGCGCTTAACAACAAACAAACGCTCACGCTTCTTAAAAACTTGCTTCAAATGGGTCGTAATATTAAAAACGAGTTTAACACTATCTGTTATAGGATATATGGATAGTACACCCTGTTTCATGTATTCTGTTAGTGTGTTGAACTTGATTTGTACCAATAATCATGTCATGTTCTTCGGCATTTTTAAATCGTCCATTTAATGCCAAATACATGGAAACCCTGCCTTTAAGATTAAATGTATTAATCTACAGAGCATTTCATCAGCAGTACTTTATTACTCTACTGTTTTTGACAAAAATTGTTGAAAGTTTCTCGATCGACATTTCTTGTTCAACTAACGAGAAAAGTGCAACGAACTTGTTGAAACGCTACTTTCCATAATAATTATTATTACTCAAATAGTACGCTCTAACGGATCAACTAATAGTGCAAAAGCATAGTCTTAGGTATTTGTTAACATTTTCAAATTAATTATTTCCCGGTGATCCCGGTCTTCTCTTCATAACGTCATATAATTATATTTAACTACAAAAAGAAACGTCATGTCCTAACAGTTGTTATTGGACTTAAATGTGTTCATGTCAGTAAAATACGAACACGATCAATTTTCTGGAAGAAGTGTGCTAACTGAATCAATCACACATTTAGATGATATATTTGAAGTGTGCTAACTGAATCAACCACACATTTAGATGATATATTTGAAGTGTGCTAACTGAATTAACCACACATTTAGATGATATATTTGAAGTGTGCTAACTGAATCAACCACACATTTAGATGATATATTTGAAGTGTACTAACTGAATTAATCACACATTTGGAATATATATTTGAAGTGTGCTAAATGTGTGATTAATTCAGTTAGGTGTTATTTTTCCTAATGCTACTAGATCAAGAGTACTACATAAATAATATAAAAGCAATTGAAATAACTGATTTTATTAAGATAATACATATAATTTCAAAATTGTGTTTCCTACATAAGCCACCAGTTCTGAGATGATAACATGACCAGTGGTTCGATAGTATACCCCACCGCGTACCTTTCCCACAAAACCTGTAGCTCCAGTCACGAGGATTGCTCGGTCCCGATAAAACGCTTGAACCTGGGAATCACACTCACCGCCACCTTGTGGTGGGGAGTGTTGCTCAACTGAACTTCTTTGTGACATCTTTCAGGCTGTTGTCGAAGAACGTCCTCTGTCTGAAAACAATTGCAATGTGTCATTTTAAACCTTCTGATATTTGATGAAATCATATCATTAATGTTAGGTAACAACTTATAAATTATCATAGCTGTTGCTAGTAGGAAAACCTACAACAGTTCAGTAGCTGTTAAATCTTACGGCAGCTATCATCAAAACCGTGTTGCAGCTGTTAAAAATGTACAATAAATTAGGATTAAAAAATCTTATATACTAGTTGTTAAAGAAATCCTACAGTATTAAGTTACAGACCCCTATTAAAAACATTAAGCTAATGTTCTACTGCGAATTTTACGCTATTGTGTTGATTATCATGATATCTAGATACCATCTTAAGTCAAATATGCACAATGATATCAAGATTGACTGTGAATTATTGTATCGTAAAAACAAACTCAAAACTTATCGTATATCCTTTACAAGTGTTATTTTTCCTAATGCTGCTAGATCAAGAGTACTACATAAATAATATAAAAGCAATTGAAATAACTGATTTTATTATGATAATACATATAATTTCGTTGAAGGTATTTTAACAGCTGGTGTAACGAGCATCTTCATTTGCCTTATGTAAATATAAAAATATTATTACGTGTTCTTCGTTTAACATGTTATGTTGGTAGTATATAATGTTTTTATTTACAGTCCAAAAATATATAAACAAATACTATAAAATAAAAAAAGATCAGTGATATATCATGTAGCTAAGTGACTCTTGTGCAAACATCAAACAAACAGTATACGCACATTTAAAAAATGTTCAACTTGAATGGAACGTACTTTGGTACAGGATGACAATGTATACGAACACGGCAGTATATCTTAAAATATTTAACAAATTAATCGTTTTGTATTTTATGTCAGGTCCTGGTAGAAAAACTGCTACATTCATGTAATAATCTAAAGACGATTTACCTCTTACTTCGTCCCAAAGATGGCAAGGACGGACGACATCGTCTGGACGAGCTCCTTTTGTCAAAAGTATGTAATGTTTTAAAGCCTGTTTTTCTGAATGTAACTTATAAGCTTGGTTTTGAACACTAAATTGTACTTTGAGAGCAAGGCAGTGATACTCTCCAAAAAATCTCTACATCATAGTAGACTCCAGTAATCTGTACCTAAGAACAAAACAGAGAAGACTCCAGCCACTTGTATCTAATGGTACAACATACTAGACTTCATCAACATGTACCTAAGAACACAACATTGTAAACTACAGTTATCCACATCTAAGAACACAACATAGTAGATTCAAGCCACTTGTATCTAATGGCACAACGTACTAGACTTCATCAACATGTACCTAAGAACACAACATTGTAAACTACAGTTACCCACATCTAAGAACACAACATAGTAGATTCAAGCCACTTGTATCTAATGGCACAACGTACTAGACTTCATCAACATGTACCTAAGAACACAACATTGTAAACTACAGTTATCCACATCTAAGAACACAACATAGTAGATTCAAGCCATTTGTACCTAATGGCATAACATATTAGACTCAATGTAGTAGACTCCAACCACATGTGCCCAAGAACTCAGTGTAGTAGACTCCAACCACCTACACCCAAGATCGCAACATGCATATCATATACCACCTGAAACTGCTCTCTTTTTATTAAGGTTATAACAATGACGAGTGAAATTGGAAAAAGTGTCACATAAGTTTTGTATCTTCTTGAATTAGAAAAGAAACTTTTCAATTAGTAGGTTCATTAGAAAACGTAAATATAAATGGTAACAGTTAAAGGTTTTATAGACTTATTAATCCAATTTTTTTTAGATAGTATTAAGTTAATAAAAAGGAAGAGTATGATAAAATACTTTATGAAATGGTATTAGCTAGTTCTCCCGAAAGGGAGCCAAAGACCGCCTGGAGGGACCATCTGTTTTAACCACTCGCACCACTATACAGTAGTATGTTGTCTATCAGTTAGTCAGTTAACGTTGCAATTTGTTCTGTCGTGACGTCAGTAAAACGTGCGCATGCCGTGAATCACGAGAAGGCTACAACACAGCATGACATTTTAACTTCGAAAGCAAAAAAATAAAAAGTATTTGTTACTCTTAATTTGGTCTTATTTACTCTTGAAACAGAACACTTTCTGGGACCCTAGGTAAGTACGTCTAGTAAATATTTACTTTTGTTATTATTTATACATATATAACTAATGTTATCACTAATCCAATCCAAACGTTACACTTTTACCCGGAACCCTATTGATTTTCTTTTCTCTTTTCACATCAGGCTTTCGACAGAGTTTTATCAAAAAACCGATCAATTATAACAAAAATAGTGCCTATAACTGGTGACGTCACTGAAGAGGGACTCGGCATCAGCCTGTCGGACGAAGCTCTCTTGGTGAAAAACGTGTCCGTAGTCTTTCACTGCGCTGCTACAGTCAAGTTTGACGAGCCATTCAGGTAAGTATCTGTGTATCTGTGTATTCAGGATTGTGTGCGATAGTACAGTCAAATACTGAAACGAAAATAAACACACATAAATTGCTCAGTCGCCTTGTACTGATGATGGAAAAAATAGTTTAACGTGATCTAAATCTATATGAGTAATATCCTGTTTGACCATTCGATATGTTGCCTATTTGTACGCTACTTAATTAGGCTAGAGCTAGCCATGGGCGATCGGATCTCGGTCGTATTTCATGTTATAGTTTATTTCAAGATTTCGTGTCAACGACCGAACTGAATTCCATAATGAAAACTCCACATACCCACAAAAATAAATATTCAACAAATGCGATTTAAAAATGATGCCTTGATAACTAACTATCTTGCTAAATTGATTAGTTTATGCCTAGAAAGTAGTTAGTTTTTATGCACAATTGGCTATGTGCACTGTGTTCATCGCAGAGATCGAATCCAAATTTTTAGCGTTATAAAATTGCTGCTCAGCTACTGGGGGCATAATCTGTTATTTCGCCAGTTTCATTTTCGTAGACTAATTTTGCAACAAGGAATATTCGAATTAGCGAAAAAGGGGTGTGTGTGTTTTGTGATTTTTTATTTGGGGGGGGGGGGGCTCGCGGAAATACAGAGCTGGAGCTTATTCTAAATATATTTTATACTGGTGGCGTGTAAGTACGTTGAAATGCGATTTTTGTGCAGTATCCTTCCTGATAAAAATAAACTTGTATGGACTTTCAACATGATTTTCTATATATGAATCCCACATTTGCACCACAGAATCAGTTATAGATATTGGCACCCATAATGTAACTTTTAATGACAAGCATGTATACTACTGCAGTCAAAATTTGGGAAGCAATGTGAAAGTTTCTATTTTTTCGGTGTAAATTCGATCACTCAGTGTTCGGCATTATAAACTGTCAATTCCACAATATAACACATCAAACAATTTTAGCCGCGGCATAGCGGCTCAGAGATTGTTTGTTTGTTTATTTTTTAATTTCGCGCAAAGCTACACGAGGGCTATCTGTGCTAGCCGTCCCTAATTTTAGATGGAAGGCAGCTAGTTATCACCACCCACCGCCAACTCTTGGGCTACTCTTTTATCAACGAATAGTGGGATTGACCGTCACATTATAACGCCCCACGGCTGAAAGGGCGATCATGTTTGGTGGGACCGAGATTTGACCCCCAGATTGCGAGTCAAGTGCCTTAATCATTTAGCCGTGCCGGGCCCAGCTCATAGAATGGCTGTAATTTTTTTTTCAAGTACAAACTTTTAGCTCAGAGCTAATTACAGCCACAGGTATTAAAGACTTCCTCTTGTTCTTCGTCTTTATTTTAATTGTCCTGTTGGAGAAATATTTCATACAAATTTAGATGGGGAATATTTTAATCACTAAGCGCTCTGGGGCCATCCTCTTTTACCTTTATTTTGGTTATAATATGTGATTATTTTTAACTCTAGCAAAGATAAAACCTATTCTACAAATTAGTAAATACTTCTCCTGCCGTTCACCACTCGATCTGGGCGTTACCTAGTAGTTAGCCTGTTTAAGGGTTCCTGTTCACGTCCCGTTGTCGCAAACATGCGCTCAATACTTTTGGGCTGTTGGTGTGTTAACTTATAATAGTCGGCGATAGGAGCTGTTGATTAGCTGTCTTTTCTTTAGCCTATCAGTTCAAAATTAGGTATGGCTATGCACAGATAAGTTTTCATTAACTTTGCGAAAATTTCTGAAAGAAACAGATACACAAACTCACCAACATCAAGACATATTTAAACAGATGGAAAGTGATCATGTGTGAGTTTTGCTTTAGAGTTGGGAAATTAAAAAAAATATATACACAAAACGCTCTTTTCAAACTAGTCCGAGAAAGCGAAAAACATTAAGGTTTAGTCGGATTGACCTATTAACCTATAACTCAACTCTGGTGTTATAAGGCAGGCTGTAACACTGCCTATGTAGGGATGGCTCGGATTGTTCATCGAAATGGTATTTTCAATATCTCCTCAAAAGGTCATCAGAACTTTACAATACTGTGTTTCTTTTTATAACAATATCTATGTAATGACTGAGTCGCGAGTTCTGGGAATGTCTGTAAATATCATAGCAAAAAGTTTGAATTTTCTATGCTTCTTTCTTGTTCTTCTTTTTTATTACATGATAACTCAAAAACCAAAATACTGGTGTTAACCAGTTTCACTGAGATGACATAGTTTCAAACGGAGTATCCACCTTTATAAGTAGTATTAACTAGTAGTAATAAAAAAACACATAATTCTAGTGTAAACGATGGTATCATTACTCCTTGAAGTTAATTTTTTACAGAAATTTCAGGTTCCTTCAAAAAGCTTAAGTTCACGGTGAAACAGGAATTACCAGCTAATAATAGATAAACAATAAATACTGTATTTAGAACTTGGTTATAAATACAACTTTCTTATGTCTGTTGAAACAATGCATTAAAAAAAACAAGCAAACAGGTAAAGAAAATGCTTTAAAAAAAGAAGCAAATGTAGGGATGGCTAATATCAATCCTCACAAACAATGCAAACAAGATAGTAGGGATGGCATTTGCATCATCCCTACATAATAGCACAGACAAGAATTAACAT